TGCTTGACAGATCTACGACAGGAATAAAAATAACACCACCAGCAATCGGAACCTCATGGGAAGCTCATCTAAATGAAGACTAAAAATTAAAGTGGCAAGTACTGTCAAGCTGCTTCATTTAGAGAGTTAACTAGGCGGCTAATCTGAGATACTTTCCATAATGAGACACAACAAAAATCCTTCGATGGTCCATCAGAGACTGAAAAAGGACTCTAAAGTTTGCCCAGAACACTGGCCACTATGTCTTGGGCTGCCCCTAGGTGTAATTATAGAGAGAGATTAAGCTTGGAGAAGCCTTAACTCCTCCACCCTTTCTGCACCATCGTTCTCCCTCTCTCGTCTTGTGCACTCAGAATGCTCCCCACTATGGAAGCCTACTTCTGAGAAAGTAACTGGCATCAGGGTACTAGGTCATATGCACATGGTCTGGGTCAGACACTGCATTCAACACCTGGCTCTACCACTCCTTAGCTGGGTGATCCCGGGCAAGTTATTAACCTCTCTGCACTTAGTGATTTCATTTGAAAACAAAGAGAAAAAAGAATCAGCCTTGGATTTCTATAGGGTTTAAATGAGATTATATGCAAAAAGGTCTTAGAACAGCATCAGGTATAAAGAGCTCAATAAATGTTGGTTAGCATAGTTATTAGCCATTTTCATTTGAGGGTAAATTTAAGTTCCTGTGTGCCTCTCCCAGAGGTTAACCTTATCTCTCTTTGAGATTTTGTGTTCTGTTAAAGGAATGTCCAACAACAGGGAGAAGGTGTGAGAGCTCTTCTGAGGGATACGAGCAACATCCCGGGGCATGTGACATTCACCCACACTGGGAGGTTGTTTGTGTCACTACGTAAGGCCAGTTCAGCTTGTTCCTCTGCTTCAAGGACCACCCCTCTCGGCGGTTGGCCCTGTTTACTTCTCCTGGGTCTTCCGAGACCACACTTTGGCAATGTGTGCCCAGAGGCTAGACCAGACAGTTACCATCTGGCCTCGGCCCCTGGCTGGAGCACCAGACAGCCCTGGGAAAGCTGCAGATTCAACGTGGCCTGACAGTGAACATCCAGCCAGCAGTAGTTTTCAATGGATGAATTAGGAAGGGGAATAGGACCATTCAAGTTAATCCTTTTGCAGCTGCATTGATGAAAGAAGTCTTAAGATCCCATAAAACATGGAAGGTACCCAAGCTTCCTTCCAGCAGCCTGTCTGAAATGGATAGACCAGGTCATCTCTGGGGCTGCTTTTAGCTTTTCTGTTGGTTTCATAACTAAGATTCAGTCTGTGAGGGAGGAAGGAAAAAAGAAAAAAGGAGCTATCCCATTTAGTATATCCCAGAAATGTATGCCTGCCTGCAAATCCACTGGGTGCACTGAAACTACGTGCCTGGAGTTTTCCCTCCGTGGCTTTCTGACTTCCTTCTCCCCTGCAAGGGTCATAATACAAAATTGTTAGAACGTGGGGAGTGAGAGTGATTCATTCTTGGTTTCTACCATGCAACAGGCCTTGACTTTCACCGAACTGTTCCTATGATCCGATGGTGGACCACAGAGGAGGCGCTGCCTCTAATGTCCACCAGGTGGCGATCAAGCCACAGAAGAAGCCGGCCCCGGTGCAGGAGACCAGCTGTCACTCATTAGCCCAGCTGGAGATTCCTGTCAGGACTACTTTGACAGGGACAGCTGTGAGAGAGCTCCTCCAGGCATGGGAAAACGCCCACAGTTCCAGAAAGAAAAAAAAAAAAAAAAGCAGTAAATGGATGTACAATTCTTAGTTAATCAAATTCAAACACCTCTTCCCGCAACTGCTGGGGGTGGGGGGCTGGTTGGCAGGATGGAAGACAGAGGATGGTACCAATCAAAATTGGTTCCAAAAGATGCAGGGCCTAAAGTCATTTTGGATTTTGTTGTTTAATGTCGTCGGAAGTGGGCTGTGACAGCAATCTTCCCAGGACTTGCCCAATCAGTTCCTGTTGCCTTTAAGGCTGAGAATAAGCCTTTCTTTCTGGGCTCCTGGGATTGTTATGTTTAATCTCTAATAGTCACCAGCATACTTTGCTTGGCTCTGAACTAAAGAATAAAAACCCTGGGGTGCAAATGGGCTCATTTATCTCCTGCCCATGTTCCATTTGTGCAGAAGGACCCATACTGGATACTGGTGACCTTTCAACTCTTCCATCTCTAAATTTATAAGTAAAAGGGAAAGAAAGGGTGTCTATAATATCATTTTAAAATAAGATGACTGTGTCTAAATCATAGGACACTACGACCAAGGCCCCCCATTTCCACCCTGCAGATAAGTAACCGGTGTCTGGCAGCGAGTGGGCTTCAGTAACGGTGCCCGCCTTTCCTTCTTTCTTCCTCTGTGCTCGCTATAATTACTGAGAGTAGGAAACTTATGAAACTTCGTTCCTCTTTAGAATGCGCTGGAGGATATCCATTTAAACAGGACATGGGGGCTCCATTTTCAACTGTTGATAAAAATTCCAACCAAGCCACGTGCAAGTATTAGAACAGACACTTGTTTATTTGTTTCCCAGCTGTTCAGGTTGTGGAAGCTTTACTGCAAGGACCGGTGTTTAAACCCTCTGTAAGGTGCTGGATCATCACAGGCTGCTTGGGAGGGTGGGAGCTCAGCTGCAAGCTCCTGGCATCCCCCGTGCCTGGAAAATGGGAAAGATCATTCACTGTTGGAAGAATGGAGCTAATTCTGGTTGACGTGGGAAAGCCTGAAACAGCAGGAGCATATTTCAAAAAAGCAGACAATTTGTCAAAGAAAGATCCCGAGATCTCTTTAGATATTTTATTGTTATAAGCATGAAAGGGAAACATAGCTGTATGCTGGCATACTATTAAGATATGATTTAAAATTCCAAGTCATAATTTTAGAAACCTATAGCATCTAATTTTAAAGCTAACATCTTCTTTGAAATGATAACTGCTTCCATTGCCTTTTTAAAAATCCATAAGAAAGATATGTCCACTGTAAGCTCCTCCTTTATTTTGGACCCTTGGGGAATCAGACTTTTACTGTCCTGGGTCACCGGCTTTCTCTTTGGGATGCAGAGGTCCCATCTGACATCACTATTACATGCCACAAGTAAAATGCATTCCATCTATGTGGCATCTCTAGGACTGCACTATTTCCTCTTGTCTTCTCAAGTGATTTTGACTTTTGACTCCGGTCACCTCAGAATAACTCCTCCATACCTCCCTTCTGCACGTACTGGCTGCTATAATCTTTCTCATCTCCATGTAACTTTTTGTTCTGAAACCTTCCAACATGAACCTCTTTGAAGTTTTCTACACAAACCACAAAAGGCTGACTTCCCACGGTGCTGCTTAATTTCTGGCCTCAGCAACTTCCATCCTGTTTATTTACCTCTTTTCCCACATAGACAATAAGAAATGGATAGGAAGATGGCAGACACTTAACTGATCCAAGAGATGATGTGTTACACTGGACTTAAAATATACCCAGAGTATATTTCTGTAGTCTGTATTAATACCGACTGTAATATAATTAGTCTATAAATTAATATAGTCTATAATTGTGAATACTCTGACCTCTTGACTTCTGACACACTAGCACAGATCCCTTTGCAAGGAACTGACTTAGTGAAAGGTCCTTTAATGAAAGAAAGTTTTGGCTCGTGGAACTGACTTTGCCCACTGAGAGACACCAGGAACACAGAGCAGCACTGGGCACTCTACAAGGAAAGTGGACTGCACAGCTCAGTTTGCACAGACACAGTCAACGTGCCTCCTTCCCTCACAAATCTGCGACTTATAATCAGTGCTGATGGAGAATTGGTGACCTCAGGGCCAAGCTAGGCTCCTACTTTCATATAATTTGCCGTCTTCTACGATTTTGAGTTCTACTGCTTATTTTAGAATATTCTTGGGAAAGGGGAGTGGTTGAACTATGTATATATTGCGGTGGGGCAGAAAACCAGCAAGTGTTTCTCCAGTTCTTTATTTTCATAGCTTTTCTGGAACTTGGATCCAGTGCTGTGGCTTGGAATGGTGAAGGTGTGTGTGTGTTTGTGTGCGTGCGCGTGTGCATGTGTGTGTGTGCACGTTTGTGTGTGTTGGGGATAAGGGAACGTGCCTCCATTCATGAATGTGGGCAGAGGGCCAGATCTACATCCTATGGAACTCTATTGAAGGTTCCTGCTATTATGGAGGTTCCCTTCACAAGGTCAAACCATAACTCCCAAGGGATCCCTGCTGAAGTGGGTGGAAGTTCAGTGTTTCTTATTCCATTGCATTTTTGAACATGACAACCACAGCCTCCTCCAGGGCACTGTGCTTTCTTTGATTAGTCATGTCAAGATTACCCTGCTGACATTGTGCTCTAACCCTAGTTCAATTCTCCTTGATATAACTCCACGAACCAAATCAGTCAAAGCCATTCTTTCTCTGCTCTCTAATTCTAATTTGTTCTATTCCCCCAGCCTAATTTCTGTCTTCTCCGTACTGAGTTCCACCCAAAGTTGATCATTCCCTGGAGAACTTGGCCTCCATTTATAGCTTAACAATCATTTCCTTTAGGGATTTTAAATAATGAACCATTCGGTTGGGACAGGGAGGTGGCAGTTCTCAGGAAAATGTGGGAGTAGATGTCTATGCTGTTTGTGAATGTGTAGAAATACAGAGATCACTTACTTGAAGCATTATTAGGACTCCATCTGTCCAAACTCCACCCCAATTCTCTTCCTCCCCGTGAAGAAAAGAGAGGCAGATAATTTTAAGTTAAAAATAAAAAGAAAAGATCTTAAAGAATTAAAATATTAAAAGAAAACTCTTTTGACCCTCAATAAATTAATGGTTGTTGAGTCCCATCTTCCTAGCGCTGGGCTCTCAGTCTTTATGCAGATCACACAGCCCACGCATCCTGAGCAGCCCCACATTTATATTCTGTCTTATTCTCCTGTTGGGATTGGACTTTGATTTGGAATGTATGGTTGCTGTATCTACAGCACATGGCTAACTCTCACATGGATGCAATTTAAAAAGTATTTGTATTTTTTATAAAACACACACACAAACAAAACATATACACACACATAATTCACAAATGTATCCTTTGGAAAAGCACTGCCATTTGTTTATCAAGGTAAAGTATCTTTAGGTGCACAGAAGAGGCAGCTGTAAAGTTTCTTTCCAGAAGTTTTCCAAGCAGAAATTAGACCGTGCAAAACTCTTAATGTATATTCATTTGGGAACTTAAAGACCAAGAGAGATTATGCATAGCAAGCTATACAACACACCAAGGGCCATTAAATCCACAGTAACAATAACAGCAACAACAACAACAATAATATACAATGCTATAAGATCATTAAAATCTACTCTATAATGCACAGAGAAGTACCTGGTTAAAGCTGTTAAATATATGACAGGTGGCATCTGTTTTCAGTGCAATATGTCAAATTTGGCAATTAAAGGGTATAAAAATATATATTTTTTTGCTTTCAAAATATGGAACAAACTAAAATATAAGGCTTTTCTGATAAACTATAAAAAAATTAAATCAGCAGTCAGATAAAGTATTGTAATCACGCGTCTTCTAAGTATTCATCCCACTTAACTCAAACCTTAACAGACAAAGCCATATATGCATGTGTTTAGCATCAGGAAAATCATGTCTCCTTCCATGCATTTCTTGTAAATATTATCCACTAGAAAGCATCTTGATGATGTCATTTTCTCCCCATTTTTTCCACTTTTTCTTCTTCCTTTTAGCTAAGGAAATATAAGATACTGAACTTGCTCCCCACGGCTTACTTTCAGTTTCCACTTTTGAGCCATTTTTTTATTCTCAACGTTGCAGTATCTGAGTGATTATATTAGATCATTAACATGGAAATCTTAACATGTGGTCTTGGATAAGTTGTTTTCCTTATTTTTTTCTTTTTTCTTCTTTTCTCTTTTTCTTCCTCTTCCCTTCCTTCCTTCCTTCCTTCTTTCCCGTGTTCCTTCCTTCATTCCTGGAGGTCACTAACATATTTCCTAGGTACTTAGCCTTTCAGTTATTATTTTAACCAAAGCTTATCTTCGTGCCCAACATGTGAGAAGTGAAAACGTCTCCTTAAAATTCCATATTACATATAGGCAGAGAAATCGGGCCTTGGGGGATTGAGTTTCTCTTAAATACTATACACATTTGGTATCACACAAGGGGCGCGGGTGGGGGACTAAAAGGAACAATTACTTGTAGTCTGTTTTTACAAAACGAAGCCTCTTCTCTAAACAAAAGCCTTTTCAGCATCTGCTCCCAGAAGTCTGCCGAGTGAACATTTTACCCATGGCTTTGAAAGGATCTCTTTTTCAGAGCACGTCTACTGTTCCCAAGAGGTCACATGCGTTGGGTTTTCCTGGTCTTAGTTGAGCAATGAATAAGCACTGGATGAGTTTTCCACGGATGAGCTGGTTGTTTCTGGGGTGGAAACATTATATGTTCCTGAAAAAGACAGCAGCAGCTCAGCCTTTCAGACAAGCTTCATGAACTTTGAGGGTGTGAACATCTCCTAATGGGCTAAGGGGGAGCTCCAGTCCAGGAGACAGGTAAGCTTGGCCGTGCCTGAAACCCAGCCTGTGCCTGCCCTCCTCCCAAGACCCAGACATGTACAGAACAAACAAAGCTGTTGTTCTCAAGCATGCTTGGCAGCCGACAAGCACTAACTACTTCACATCATACCAGCAGCCACATTTCTACGAAGGACAGGAAGATCTCTACTTAGGCAGCCTCTCCACATGCCACCACATGCATGGGCCTGGGGACATCCGCATGAGGAAGCCTCCCTGGTCCCCTGGGGTTACAGGGACTTGGGGAAGCTCTTGGGAGAGACCCAGAGGCTGAGCTGAAGGTGAAGGTTTTTAAAAGGAGAAAAAGGACAAAAAAAAAAAAAAAGAGAAAATTATAGGAGAAGAAAAGTCAAGACCAGAAAAGAAGCAGAAATCAGGGATGCTAACAAAAGTGCTGAGAACCAGTGCAGCAAGGAGGGCAGCCTCAGAGCCACCACACAGGCTCCTGCAGGCAGGGTGGCCAGCGCTGTGCCCAGGGGGAGGGGAGGGAGTGTGTGCTGGGCAAGGGAAGGGTCGAAGCACCCACCCTACCATCAGATTGATGAACTGCCACTGCTAACAAGGTTTCCATCATTGCCAGGGGGCACCTTTGGGGTTGCTGACAACATAAACCAAAGTTTCAGTAATTATGAAACCCCCAAATAGGCCAGATTGTGCATTAATGACACCTTAGAGGCTATCCAGTGGCAATGGCCAGGTGCCTCACGCCCTGGTACCTGAGGAACAGAGTCCACACCCCAACTATTATCTGACTAGTTCAGAAACAGGGAATGCATTCTATCAGCCTTACTTATTGCATAATTCTGATTCTGTGGAATTACTCAGTAGTTTTGCTTTAAAGCAAATGGAAAACACTTCCGTGACAGAGCTAGCAAAGTGCAATAGTTCTAACACACCCCGAAATCTGACCATTTCACAATAGGTCAGATCAGTGATTTTGAAAATCAAAATGAAAGTCTGCCAGTTTCATGAGTAATTCATCAAATTAAAGCAGAAAACACCAAGTCCTGAGGAGTTTTAACAATTATAGGCATTCTCAAAATTTGCTTTTATACGAAAAGCCTTGTTCTGGAATATTGACACACTTTTAGACTTTGCATTTGTGAGATCTGTTCAATTTCAAAAAGCTAGGGAATTCTATACTTACATTCCTGTGGGGGGGGGGGGGGGGGTTTGGC